TTGTTATTGGAAAAGGACAAGATTAGTATTTCGAGATATTGCACCATAGGGGAACGTAGGATTACGCGAGACTTGTGATCGTTGGGGCAATAATGGAGCAGAACGATAAGAATATTTCCGGGAAAAAGTTAGGGACTTAGAGGGAGCGAAGACGTTGACAACTTGACGATCTTTTGTAATCAAACTCATATTTTATTGTTAAAAAAAAAAAAAAAAAACAAAAACAAAAAAATCAAATACCGTCTGTATTTTTCAATTTAATAATTGTATCGAAATAATCATAATGGAGGAACAATCGTGTTAATTTTCTTGACAATAAACTCTTCCAACATATAATTTAACGTAAGTTTAAAGTTATCTTTTTAAATAGCAATTTGTATTTTATTACAGTTAGATGAAAACTCTTTGGGCACGACTATCGACTAAGAGCCATTTTTAGAATATGTAACTGGAACAAACATGAATAGCGTAAAAGATTTATTATGAATATAAGACGAGCAGTGATACGTTTAAATTGTGAAAGTACGATAATATTTAATGCACTTTATATCGAGAGAATATTAAGCTAACTATTAGCGAATTATCACGTAATATGAAAGCTTTTGTTTTGCTTATATTATTAAGGTACAGTGCCTAGCTTAATTAATTAATGAAGGAGATGAATCAAAGGTCAGTTTGCATTTCAATAGCATTGAGAAAGAAAAATTCTGAAAAATCGACGAAGAGCGAACAAATAGAAAATAAAGCGTATTAGTGGCTGACATTTTCTAAAAGGAAAAGTAGAGAAAAAGGAGGGAGCTAGTACCGCTGTAAAGAGAATATGTATAATAGAAAGGCAAACGAGAGAAGAAAAAAACATGAAAAAACAGGATAGTAAAACAATGGTAAATGCAAACATGCGCCGAGGCCAACTCCGCGCTGTACAAAAAAGGGGAGAAGGAGCGCAAAGAAAAGTGGGATAGAGGAGAAAAAGATAGAAAGTCAGACGTCGGAAGAATAGAAGACTGTCGGCAACGTAACAAGACCTTTTGTGCATTTTTTTCCCTCATCTCTTTCTCATTTCTTTCAATCTTGTCGCGCACGCATACCTATATACTTAGGTATGTATATATATATATATATATATATATATACATACATACATGAAGCGGTAGCTGAAGAGAGGTTAGGACTTATCGAACGAGAGCGCTTGTGCGCGATCTCCATACACACGCTTAGAATGTAACGAACGTAATGCATTCGTGACGCATTGTACTTTTCAATCAATTTCTCCGTCAGAAGCGCCGGGTATCCTTTAACTCAGAGAGTCGCGTGTCAGATCGTCGCCGACTGCTGATTCTTCCTCCCGAGCAACTCGTGTGCGCGGCTCTATCGGTCAACGACTATTCCCAAGCGCGGGCGCAGCATCCGCTGGGCAAAAACCCCTTAATCCGTCCCACTCGAAGCCTCCGTCAACTTGTTCCCGCGCCTGCACGCTCCTTGCCACCTCGCGCGGTTCGCTTATTTCCCTTTTGCCCTCGCCCTCTGTCTCGTGCGGCTTTTCTAATTAGCGTAGAGTAGGCTTAATAGGCTCGCACAGCAGTCTTTTCTTCGCGAAACGTAGCTGCGTTTTTCAGCGAAAGGTTTTTTTAAATTGCAGCCACGACTAGATGGGCCGAGTGCAGTCTCGAAGCCCGAGGAAAGTTGTTGAAAATTGCATGCTTTTGAGATCCTATAGCTTTTAGCGTATAATTTAAGGTGAAGTTGGTTAAAGCCGGTAG